CTACTACTACTACTACTACTACTACTACTACTACTACTACTACTACTACTACTACTACTACTACTACTACTACTACTACTACTACTACTACTACTACTACTACTACTACTACTACTACTACTACTACTACTACTACTACTACTACTACTACTACTACTACTACTACTACTACTACTACTACTACTACTACTACTACTACTACTACTACTACTACTACTACTACTACTACTACTACTACTACTACTACTACTACTACTACTACTACTACTACTACTACTACTACTACTACTACTACTACTACTACTACTACTACTACTACTACTACTACTACTACTACTACTACTACTACTACTACTACTACTACTACTACTACTACTACTACTACTACTACTACTACTACTACTACTACTACTACTACTACTACTACTACTACTACTACTACTACTACTACTACTACTACTACTACTACTACTACTACTACTACTACTACTACTACTACTACTACTACTACTACTACTACTACTACTACTACTACTACTACTACTACTACTACTACTACTACTACTACTACTACTACTACTACTACTACTACTACTACTACTACTACTACTACTACTACTACTACTACTACTACTACTACTACTACTACTACTACTACTACTACTACTACTACTACTACTACTACTACTACTACTACTACTACTACTACTACTACTACTACTACTACTACTACTACTACTACTACTACTACTACTACTACTACTACTACTACTACTACTACTACTACTACTACTACTACTACTACTACTACTACTACTACTACTACTACTACTACTACTACTACTACTACTACTACTACTACTACTACTACTACTACTACTACTACTACTACTACTACTACTACTACTACTACTACTACTACTACTACTACTACTACTACTACTACTACTACTACTACTACTACTACTACTACTACTACTACTACTACTACTATGAAGTGTGGCAAATTGAAGTGAGGCACCTGTATGAGGTTCTAAATTGATTTTTTCTGTCTGTGTGATTGTTTGTTCAAGAGGTAGAAAAATAATCTTCCGACGTTTCGCAACCTCACAGAAGGTGCTTCTTCAGAGAATCATATCTGTATAAGTTATGGCATGTTTTATCCTCTGAAAAAGTAGCTCTCACAAAGTGGTGGCATATTCTTCTGTTTACCTTAGATAGGATGTTACAAAATATACTTCTTTAACAAACCATTTACCCAATCCTCAACATATTCAGTATGATCAAGTTAAATTTCTACCTTGAAGTCAGAAGGTGCTAATAAAGGCAGTAAGAACGTGAGCTCAAAAGGGGAGGTGGCTAGACTAAACCATGACATCATTGCACCAAAGTCTTTGACTCTTGGTCTGAGCCATGTGAGGAGAGAGATGCAGACTAGTCGGTAAGGATCCAAGTGACAAGAGAAACCAGTGGTTGGAGACGACTTCAGGTGATGATATGGCTCAGAATCGATATCAGTGGCACAGGTGTATACACACACATTCTCATCTTAACCTGATATAAGGATAGAAAGAAAAGCCGAGTCTGGAGAGGGATCAATCAAAATGTACTCTATGTGATCACGTCTACAGTTAGGTAGACAGACTGGGGATCACCTAATCAATAGTCTTTCGACGCCAATACACCTTCCTACACGTCCATCGTGTATTCTCTATTATTTAGTCGGTTCAGGAATCAACTAGGAATTTCGTTGAATGTTTGTAACTCACTCACAGTCGATACCCATGCACCGTTAGCGGTGAAAACAGTTTTCGAATCATAACAGTTAGCGACAAGGATGCGATATTGAGAAATGGACTCTTCGAAGTTGGACAAATTACTCGAACAACAAATGAAGATTATCAAGATACTTACACAATTCAACATCTCTAGTACTGAATCATCCATCACCTCCAGTTGACACCATCGCCAATAACATCACCAGATTTCACTACGATCCTGATGTTAATGAGACCTTCGGTGCTTGGTTCAGACGTTACGAAGACTACTTCAAAGTGGATTTTGCTGACCAAGATGATTCCTGGAAGGTACGTCTCGTACTTTGAAAGCTCGACCAGTACTGCAATATGATTTCGCAGTGCAATCCACGTGATCGCCACAGTGTAGACACTGTCTGCAGAATATCAACGACTCGTCAACTCAATCCCGATGCGACGGTGATTATCAAGTATATACAGTTCAGTAGACATCTCATTCGTCAGCATTACCCTTTGGTCTTATCTCACTTGTTCATCGACCACCATACCAACCGACCATCGAAGGAGATACTCCCATCGCCTTGTTGGCATTGTGGTGTCTGGCGTTTCGTGAAGTCCTGTCCACATAAACAACATCGATGCTGGGACTGTAATGCTGTCGGCTACAGGGACAATTTTCGCCGTCAACACACATGACGTGTACAAAGGTTGCATCCTCTAGATGCCGCCACAGATTTCATTTTCAATCGGTAGGTTAATCTTTAGGCTTGATATCTAATTTTCTTGTTCATTCACTTACCCAGCGGACAAACATCGAGAAGACTACCGGTCTCTCTCAGTGAACAAGGAGAAACCGTCTCTCTTTGCATCAGTCATCCTTTTATTTTACTGCTTTGTTACTTGATATGCTGATGCGAACTGTAGTAACTTGGACCGATATATGGTAATGTCTCGTCCTAATGTTCATATTTATTGACTGAGTAGAGCAGAGAATATAAAAGAATCATGTACACAATATAAATATAATAAGCAAGAAATAACACAAGTTGACAGAAGAGGCAGTGAAGACGGGACTTCAAGGGAACATAGAGAAGACAGAGGTGATGAAGATACCCAACCAACGCCCCCACAAACAACAACAAACTCCAATCACTATCAACGGGAGAAACTTAAAGCAAATAGCCTCTTTCACCTATCTAGACAGCACTGTTTCAACTACAAACGGCATAGACGAGGACGTTAAAGCCAGCCAGGGTCGGAAAACACTGCAAGACAGGCGTTCATTAGCCTAAAACGAGTGTGGAGATCGATTGCACTGCACTCAGCATAAAGCATGAACAAGATCTGGATTTTCAACACCAACGTCAAGTCAGTGTTTCTGTATGGCTCAGAGACATTATCATTTCAACGAATGTGTGTTGCGGAATTTTGCCGCTGGTTGAGTTTATAACTAGTAAATCATCTCATAAGGATACATGTTTCTTAAGCGCATTGATTATTTGTAATCAGTTTAAGTTATTCAATTGATGTACTAGTAAACAAATTGAGCTGAAAAATTCACTAAAAGTTATGTTACCAATTTGATGAAGAAAAAAAAATAGTATGGATCACTATGGTCCTGGTGTTAACTGACTTGATTTGGTTCGAATGGTGGTGTTTGTGCTTCACTTACTACACCAACTGGTGGGATATCCGACTACCCGTCAAAAGACGAGTATACTGCACTGTAGTATGATTCTGTCCATGTTGTATAGGTATCAGACACTGTTGTTGAAGGTAGAAGATATTAAGCGGTCCTAGGGTACTAGGGCAAAACAGGCAAATCGACTGGTAAGTTTATAAACCATCGAACGAAGTGACTGGCTTGAACATACTGTAGGAAGTTGCATTAGGTTGGAATCAGTCGATGAAGTCTCTAACTGTTAGAGTGAGCTGTTTAATGTGGCGTAGACTACTTAACTGGAGTCCTCAAGACCTTAAGAATGAGTGGTGGAGATTTATTCACTCTTTGGTAGGTCTTTTTGTTTTGCATTCTACTGTGAATTGCGGTAACCTGAAGTAATGGACTTGTAAGCGAGGTTCTACGTTGATTAGTTTGTCGGAATAGAGGTGTTCACATTCGCTCCAGCACATCTGCTCAAACCTTGATAGATGGAGTAGTTGTTCGAACTCATCACCACCCATTGCCCATATCACTGATCTGCAAATCCGCCTTTATGTGGGGAAAATTGTAGTCTGTATTCCTTACCGAGTGTTTGATTCAACAAAGACCAAGAGAAGTATCTATGTCGTTTGTGTCTAGTTTATAATTTTGCGTGTCAACCACTTACCTGGAAAGTAGGATCAGCCCTGATGGCTCAGTGGCCGATGAAGTCTCGGCACAGATACAAAACGCTCGATTGGCTTTTGTCAATTTACGCCACATTATGGCGCTGACATGATACCCGATTATCTATTAAGGGTTGCGTGTACTGCACAACAGTCCACTGTGTTCTTCTGTATGGCTGTGCAACATGGCCATTCAAGGTGGAAGACATGAGAAGGTGGCTTCATTTGTTTGACCACCGTTGCCTTCGTAGTATACGCCTTGTGTCGTGGTGTCATCACGTGAGTAATGCAGAAGTCATGCTGAGTCGTAGAGTTTTAGGGAGCAGAGGTAAATTTGTTGACGAGGTTATGAACCTTCATCGACTGAGATGCCTGGTCGCCGTCTGCCTCGTCACACAATGTTAGCTGAAGTAGGTCCAGGCTGGAAAAAGGCCCGGGGTAGCCGGACTAAAACATGGCACTAATGTATGAAGTCTCTGACTGTTGGTTTGAGCCATGTAGGACGATGGAGACTAGGTGGTTGGGGTCCACGGGACAAGAGAAACCAGTGGCTGGAGACACATTATCCTCATCTTAATGACCCTATACCAAATCTCACTATTTTGTCATTCTCCCTCTCTTTTTTAGTATTTTATATTTCTTTTGACTGAATTTCCTTATCTTCATCTTCCACCTCACTACTTGATGAGCTGTGGCAACTCAGATGGTTAGGCAGTAATGCCTGGTCGCATGTTATTATTGATTATGATGATTGTAATTTCGTATTTCAACGTTTAGAGTATTTGAGTTCTCTTCGCTCTATGACCCCCCCCCCTCCCTCCGTCCTTCTGTTTATCTTCATATTGGTTATGAGTATTTCATGTTTGTTTATTCTGTAAATCTTTGCTGTAACAATTGTATATATATTATTTTAGATTTTACTGCATCTATTCGCCACATATATGGATACGCGTATGCCACCGCATCCAAAATGTTTATCTGGTCGTGTATTCAGTCAGTTGAATATAATTCGACTTCCAGATAAACCTGGTAAGTGTGCGTGGGTGTGTGTGTTTATACACCATCACATATCTATTCGAATAAATTTACGTATATGTATATAACTGTAAAGAATATACAATGTTTTAAACTTGGATAAAGTGGAATCTCAAAGGAGAAGTATACTGCACTACAGTTTGTTCTGTCTTGTTGTACGGCAGTGAGATATGGTCGTATAGGATTTTGATCTCATAGGTGTTTTCACAGCATTACTCACCTATAGTTGAATCACTGTGCAAGATGAGGTTGGAATATTTTATCGAACAACATGGCTTAGATATATACTGCGCATGCCAAGCTACCATTGCCCTACGTCGACGTTCGACAATTAGGGAAGTTGGATAAGGTTGAAAATAGTGAGACCAAGACCTGGCATCAATCGATGAAGTCCCTGACTAATGGTCTGAGCTGAGTCGTAGGGAGGGAGATGTATACATCTTGGTTGGTGTCCCTAAGTTGAAAGGAATCAGTGGCTAAGGACTGATTGTTGGTGAAAATCGGTCATAATGGCGTAGATATATTCGCTCATGGATTGTTATCTTCAAAACTCTTCCTTCGCTCACACAGCTTTGTCGACATTGATATCAGACTTCTATTCACCTATTCTTTGTGTACTATTGTGAAGAGGGGCAACTTGATCCGAAACATTTGTGTATGCGTACATTCAGCACTGTTCATCGTCATCGTCAAGATCAACACAGGAACAGTCATTGATCGCGTAACAGTCCAAGTTGACACGCAACTCATCTCATATGGAAGATGAGGATAATGTGTGTGGACACATCTGCTTCACTGACGTCATATCATCATACCTAGAGTGTCCAACCACTGGTAGTTTCTCTTGTTCCGCGAACCCTAACGGACTAGCTTGCACCACCCTATATAGCTCAGACGAAAAGTCAAAGGATTTCATGAATTGATACCATGTTTTAGTTTCATCATTGTGAGCCCTTTTTCCAGCCTGAACCTACTTCGGACAACATTCCTCCTAAATACTGTACACCTAAGGCAATGGTGATCAAACACCTAAAACCTTCTCATGTCTTGTACTTTTAATGGCTAAATGGCTAAAAAATAAAGCAGGCTGGAATGCAGCACAATACACTTGATTCACAAATAGCATAAATAAACAAAATCACTCATCATCAACATAGGACCAGATATTACTGCGTAACGGTCCGACCTGCTACACTTCATATCACTACACCAAGTAGAAAGGTGGTGAAGATAAGATAATGATGAAGATAATGAAGATAAGAGAATGCAGTCGAAAGAAATATAAAGTAGAAGAGAGAAAGAAAGAGTGAGAAAATGGCGAGATTTGGTATAGCGTCGTTAAGATGAGGATAATGTATGTGGGGATAAATCTGCGCCACTGACATCGGTTCTCAGCCACATCAGCTACACTCGATCTCCAACCACTGGTTTCTCTTGTCCCGTAGACCCCAACCACCTAGTCTCCATCGTCCTACATGGCTCAAACCAACAGTCAGAGACTTCATACATTAGTGCCATGTTTTAGTCCGGCTACCTCGGGCCTTTTTCCAGCCTGGACCTACTTCAGCTAACATTGTGTGACGAGGCAGACGGCGACCAGGCATCTCAGTCGATGAAGGTTCATAACCTCGTCAACAAATTTACCTCTGCTCCCTAAAACTCTACGACTCAGCATGACTTCTGCATTACTCACGTGATGACACCACGACACAAGGCGTATACTACGAAGGCAACGGTGGTCAAACAAATGAAGCCACCTTCTCATGTCTTCCACCTTGAATGGCCATGTTGCACAGCCATACAGAAGAACACAGTGGACTGTTGTGCAGTACACGCAACCCTTAATAGATAATCGGGTATCATGTCAGCGCCATAATGTGGCGTAAATTGACAAAAGCCAATCGAGCGTTTTGTATCTGTGCCGAGACTTCATCGGCCACTGAGCCATCAGGGCTGATCCTACTTTCCCAGGTAAGTGAAGTGGTCAACACACTCAACCACTTCACTCTCTATTGTTAGCCGTGGGTGGTACCGCTGAAAATCAATTCTGGAGCAAAAAGTTTTACATTTGCATCACTATTGACTAAAGTTTATTTCATTCTATGTACACATACCTCATTGTATAATTTTCAATGTTTTTATTACGCTTTCTTGTCTACCTATTTATAGATATGAAAAGTAGACATAATTGTCAATTTTATCAAGTCTCTGTACAACCGCCTCAATTCAAATTAGTATTGAATGGACGAATTTATACATTCGCTACAGTAAGTGTCTACGTTTTCATTCATTCACTTTTTATCTATAAATAGGGTCAGAAAAATCTCTACCATGCTATTCTCCTATTCTTCCACTATTATGTAACAACAGATGGAAAGTTTAGGTGAGTTACATTTGTATGAAGTGTATTCCTTATTATTCATATAAAGTTGGATATTATATAATGTAGTAACTGGTAAGTTGATTTTGTTCAGTTAAGAGTTCAGCTATGTGACTACTACCACTTCTTGATCACTTGCTTATGAGGTGATTCTTGAAGATTCAATGAGAAGTTGATAGAAATGACTGTGGAATAATGTAGGTCCTGGGATCGACCTCGTGGCGCTGGGGTTATGGATATGCACTGCTATGGAGTCTCCGTACTAGGATGAAATATCTAGTCTTCAGTCCTCCAAAGTTTCCAATGTTTCTCTGACTGATGAATACCGGCTTGGAATGAATAAATCCTCACAGACCTCAAAATTGCCTATAACTTTATTGAGTACCCATGTTCAGTTGCAGCAGGAATGAATCATCAACGAATTGATCACCTGTCAAGCTTAGTTACAAATTGCCAATGAACCCTTATACGGTTTCTACTGATAGAAACAGACTAAATCAAGATAGGATCTCGTACACAGGTTCATCAGCTCAAGTTCCCACACTTCACAGTGGTATATAAAGAATAGTTGGAGGGAAAAGAAAGACTGACTGTTTGATGTTCAGCCATGTCACTATGGGTCCTCAACCACCGATTCTTATAATCTCAAGGGCCTTTCCTAAGTAGTCTACACCTGCATAAGCGGTTACTACTGACTGCCATGTCTTGGTCCGGACATTCTACAAACCTTCCCATCATTTCGATAGACTACCAATATGCATGAAATGTAAATTTCAGCACTTCCTGTATCCAACTAACATCTACCAATGTACATTACGATGCTGAACCTCTCAGCACTCAGGACTAGACAACAAGAAATTGGTTGCTTTCCCTTGACCAATCAGTCCTGCAGGAGGTCAACCACGACCCGAATACGCTGACGTGGGTTCAAATCTCAGGTGGAACATCAGTTTCGTTGACGTTGCTGATGAATGCCAATATGCATAAAATCTAGGTTCAAGGCTTCCTGCTGATTTCTTCCATCCAACTAACATCTATCAGTATGTACTACGACGCTGAACCTCCTAGCTTAGTGGCCACACTGTAGAAATGTTGGATAAATTTCGACCACCTCAAACGAATCGGTACTATAAGGTTAGGGGCCTTCAGTAACTAATCAATAGACTAAATAGCTCCGTGGCAACGTCTATAACTGAAGGATTGAATGATTCAGCTTTGAATTGTAGTTAGGACATCAATCTAGTAATCTTCTTTAAGCAGCTCTGACTAAGATAGATGGTTACAATATTATTTTCATTGTTAACTGTTTATTCAATGTCAGAACAAACAATTTGCTGACTATTTTCAATCAATACTGGTCTTGATTATACTTTATGTTAATAATTCGTTTTATTCTCTTCTTGCCATCTAGGTCTGTTGCACTTGGTCCATCTGGTTTAAATGTTGCATGGATATATTCAAAAAGCTGACTGTTAGCATTATCATATTATTGTATATTGTGTCAACTATGGTAACTGTTTTTGTGTATATATTTGTGAATAAATGTTTATTGTTGTTCCTTGTATTATCTCGTCTTTGATTGGACAGAATTGATTGGACTTCTGTCGACATATGAGCTCCTACGCGCCGATACCACGATATTGCCTATCTTTCAATTATATATGAATGATGGGCACTGGAATCTCTCCAAGGTTGGTGCGCTTTATTTTATTGTGGACTCCTTAACCGAATATTACTGCCTCCCAGTAAGTTGTACTGCTCCTACCAGGACTCGACCCGATGCTTCTTGTACGACAGGTTTAGTTCTTATGCTGCTACTTGTAGTATTAATGTTGTATATAATTGAAACAGATAATATTGTAGCATTGGCTCACAGGAGATCATATGCCAATAGCGATGGATCAATTGCGTCCAATCAACAACGGAATAGTACAAGTAACAATATAGTTTCTCTTTTCGACAACTGAGACGCGCACCCTGGATTTCACTGCTACTCGCTATTCATCATTCAAACACAAGCAATATCGAGGCCTCTTCAAAGGAGTCAACAGAGACCAATCAATTCAGTCCGAGCAACGACGAAATAATAAAAGTACTAACTTTAAAACTATACTCGTAGCACAAGAAGTGGCTATCGTAACTCGTTTGTCCAGTAGATAACGCACTAGCGTTTGCAGCAATTGATCTCAAGTTCTAGTAGGAATGACATCACTCACTTGGTAGTAGGTACATTCAGCTGACGAGTCTGAAGTAGGACGAGGCACGTGTCCTGGATTTCACTGCTAGTCGCTACTCATCATCACATCACTATTGCAGTAGGTTTGGAAGGAAGGAAAGTACTTGCACATTAGAAGAAGGGCTACCTTATCAAACTTCCAAGAACGGAGACCTAAGTCTTTGCAAGAAGTGGCACGTGATCATGCTGCTGTCCACCAAAAGCAAGCAGAATATTATGCTACATCATCCTGGAGGGACTAAAAGATGTGCTATGTTCAAGAAGTACAAGTCATATGCGCATCAAATTGCAACGCTACTCTACGCATCATCATAGAACAGAGCATAGAATGGCAATTAACTGGATCTTTACCTCAACTTCATCGATTTTGAAAACGCCTTCGACAGCATCGACCGAGAAGTAATTTGGAAATTGCTTCAACACTACGATTTTAGTACCACAAACCTGTATCAGCTTCCTCGGCAGCATCGTTTCAACTACAGGCGGCGGTACAAACGAAAATGTCAAGGCCAGGGTCGGAAAGACAGATCACTCTTCATTAATCTGAAATCATTGTGGAGATTTACTGCACTCAGCGTAAACAACAGGATCTGGATTTTCAATACTAAGTCAGTGAGGTCAGTGCTTACTTCTATGTGATGGTTCAGAAACTTGACGCGTTACGAAAAGCATTTCCTACAAACTGCAAAAATACATGAACAGCTGCTGCCTACGCTCGATACTGAAGATCAGATGGCCAGAAAGAATAAGCAATAAGGAACTTGGTGACGAACCAACTAAGAATCTATCGCCCAACAAATATGCAGAAGAAGGAAGTAGAGATGGATTGGACATACACTGAGAAGACCATTCGGGGACATCATGCACTAGACACTCGAGTGGAACCCAGATGGGAAATGGCGAGTCGGGCGTCCGATGGTGACATGGAGGAGATCGTATGAAGAAGAAATGAAGGCTAATGGGCGATCGTAGAGCCAGGTTGAAAAGATTGCAGAGTTGAGTGGTGACATGCTAAAAAAGTTTTATATTTCACTCGGAATTCAAGGGATAGATAGTAATCTTAAAAAATACTGCTCTTATCTGTGTTCCGATGTACGCGATGTGGATCTAGATTAGTGCAGTCGAACGAGTTGGTGGTTCTCATAGTGGTTTTACGGTAATACAACTCGAAGGCGAAGAAAACATCTGCTTTCTCATACCAGACCAAGATTGAAATCCATGTATGACCCTCAGTATTGAGAGATTGTAGAGCAATGGTGATAACGTCGTCGGATTGCGCCTGGAAATCGAGAACCAGTTCTTGTTATCGCTGAAGTCAGCTGATCTGAAGCTTATAGATATCTTAATCGTCAACGTTTTGTCGAGGTATACAGATTCCGTGAAAAATGACATAAACTGAGTTCATGCATGAATATACTGTACAATATTGAACACGCAAATGGTGCTTGAGTTTGTATTATAACCAGCGCTTCAGTGCACTTACGTATACACTACTCATAATTTCTGTATAAAATGTATATCTTGACTAGCCTTCTGAATGTAAACTGACGAATCCAGTAGAAAAAGATGTCTGTGCTTGGAGGTATGTTTTCTCTAGTCAGTTACGACAGGTCTAACTGCATATTATGTTTAAAAATTGACCTGATGTGATGTAAACGGATTTCCTTGAAAGAGAGCGCGGTTTCAACATTGAAAAATTTCTACAAAGATTTGTAAACTTCAATAGATATTCATTTTATATTATCGTTTCACATAAATAAAACCTTACACACTAGTGGACCACGGTTAACGTAGCCACACCTCATAGTAGTAGTAGTAGTACACAAAGAACAGGTGGATAGAAACGGACTGATATCAGAGTAGAGACTTTGCAGTTAAAGATTAATGTGAATATGCAAACTTTGGAAGATATCGCAGACTGTTTATATCTGCGTCATTGTGATCAGTTTTCAACCACTGATTCCTTATCCTGTAAAATACCAATCAGGCAGTGTACATCTCCCTCTATGCGATTCAGGCTAATCTATTCCACGTTTTCCTAGCATGATACGTCGAGGTAAGTAGTGGCTCCGCATGCCGTGTACTTGTCCAAGCTATCTAGGTCGACACAGACTCATAACCTTATCAATCGACTTGCTTACTACCTTTCGCCTGACCTCAGTATTGCTAACACTATGATTCCACTAAACGCAAACAATGCTACAAATATATCTATGATGAAAACCCTGTAATCGCTTCATGTCTTCTACTTTCAATAACCATATCTAACAGCCTTACAACATGACAGAAGCAACTGGAGCCCACTGATTCATAGATAGCCGGGATATCTTTGCAGTCGGAGCCATATACGACACAACTTGTCAGTCCCATCAATCATTGAGTCTATCCTGATAGATACATTTCATCCTTTTGAACAGACGCTTTATCAAACCTCGCTTGAATTGAGTTGGACAGAAGTGATAGAATCTTCATTACACTGACATGTGCAACTTGAGGCATCGTTTTGTTTAGCTGTTTTCCCTACAACCCAGGAGCATCTAGAAGAGAATGGCAAACAGCAGTCGTTTCCTTCTTCATATGATCATGTACGATGCTTAGTCTTTCTAGTAAACAAGATCCATCTCCATGCTTGTCACATATCATCATCATATCCCCCTGATGATGAGGTTTATAGAGGACTTCCTATCTTCATGCCAATGGCTTGACGAACTTTACCACCACCTCCGAACATGTTGAAACAATAGCGAAAGCGAAATTACCAGAGAGCAGTAGGACATTTGTCACAACTGAGTGAGTAGTTTATCAACAGAGTCTCCAGTGGAAACCACCTCGTAGTATTTCATCAAATCAGCATGATAATAAACATCGGATTACCGTTTCGCTCATTTGAGGGGCTTTGCCTGCGGTGGACAAATTCAGTTCATAGAGTCGATCGAATTAGTTCAAATCACCCGAGTCCATTTTGTGATGGCGTAGTATTAAATGACGTACGTCTTATAAATTACGCTACCTCGTTCGATTCATTCAATCAATGTTTAGTGTAGTTGCTAATGAACAATTTACGACCGATCAGGTGATCATTTGATGCAAACATGAACCAATCAATGAACATATCATAAGAATTGCTTGCGACATCCCTATTGGTTATTGTTCTTCTATGCTACTATTGGTCATTTTTGGGTTCCAACATACCTCTCTATCTACCGAGATGGTCTGGATAGCCGGGTAATAGTGTCATTAGCCGTCATACAATAGGGTGTGGCCAAATGTAAGAGGCTGTTCTGACTGCATTTCAACGTCTTCTTCTGTGACTATATTACTATGAATATACACACAGTATGCACTATTGTGTGAATTGATCCAACTGTCTAGAATATACGCCTAAAGGGCAGGTACATCCCGGTGACAAGACGCGCGTTAAAATGGATTTCACCATCAATATAGACATTCATTCAGTCGATAATTCGGTAGTATTGATGAAGCATCTTTGCATAGCAGCCGATCACCCAACAGAAATCGAATAATTCAACAGGAGATTACACATATCAATTAATAATACATAATGATTATTTATTTACTTGTTGAATTGAAATATTGATGATGATGATGATGATGATGAGCATAAACAGTACGAAAATGCTATGAGAAATAAAATTTAAGTGTAGGCATATTATCGTTATAAAGTATACTTAAGAGTGGAGGAGTACAGAGAAATGAAATAACACATCTGATTGGATAAAGGATTAGACATGGAAATGCACCCCAATAATACTCTTCATACAACCGATAACTGATGTGTGTGTGTGTGAGCGTGTAAGTAGAATGGGGGGAGGGGGGCGGGGGGGAATGGAGCGAACACTAAAAACCAATGGATAACAATAATATTAGTAAAGATAATCTTTTCCGCAATGAATAAGAGGAGAACAGTAGTATTGAACGGAAATATGTCATTATATTATCATACTTCAATGTCGTATATGATAAATAAAGTAAGTGATTAATAACCTTTAACCTACCTGTATGTTTTTTGCAAATCGCATAAAGTGAGGAAATTCGGAGTAAAATTCTAATGAGTCAGATATGAGAATGATATCATTAAGTGTGTATTGCCTTTTTTTATTCAATCAATGGGCATGATGGTAAATGAACTGTGCCAAAATAATTTAATTCATATAGACTACAGAAGAGGAGAACAATAATATAACCGATTAATAGTGCATATCCATACGGCTTAGTTAGTCGCCAACGATTGATATGTGTTGCTACCAATAAATAGATGACTGTTGTGAACAATGTCAATGTTGAATAAAGTAATCCTGTTAAGAAAATAAAAAGACACAGAAATTGGATGTTGCTCATTGTACTACTAAATTACTTAGTGAGTAGTATAATACTTTGACGCTAAAAAACAAAAAGGGTGAGAGTATATCAGTTAAACACACCTAATTGGTTTTACTGAAAATTCCATGTTGGCGGGAGAAGGTGAACGGAAAGGCATTTCACCTATTTATGACAAACACCTCAAGGAATCAAAACACATTTCATATAAGTAACCAGTACATCAATTTCTTACTGACGAATCCCGAAAAGTACGAAACCTAAGTAGGATACGGCTTCCTATTGATTATTTTCATGAAAACACATTCAGATGTTGTTCGGTAGACAATATGAAGTTGGTGACCAATCAGTGTACCTAATCTAGGAAATCAGTTGTAGGCTAAACAGCTCATTGGTAACACACAGATTCGAATCTCAGGTTTCAGATATTCAACGCGGAGAAGCGCCGAAAAGAACAAGATCTAAGTCCACGGGTTTCTGCTGATTGCTTCTATCCAACTAAACACCTTTGTTCGAATCAGTATGCAATTATTAGCATCTAGTATTCTAACGAATCCACTCGCAGAACACTATTCTCAAACAAACTGATTATTACATCTGAATGACGTGAAGCAGATAGTTAGTGTCGGATTAGGGTGTCCCGATAGGGTTACTTTCGAGGTAAGTATCCGAGGAATAAATGAAATATTATAATACACGTTTTGTGCATTCAAAAATCCATTCCCGTCTAACAGGGAAATTTCCCTTTGTTCTCCTGCTAATTCTCAAAAAAAATCGTGGACATCGGCTTTATTTGCCACACTTCATAGAAGTTGACAAAGAACAGGTGGATAGAGAGAGACAGAGACAATAAACCATTTGAAGATAAGGGTTAGTGTGAATATTCAGGCTTTATAAGATGTCCCATTATGACCGATTGGTTTTCAGCTATGTCACCTGGGCGACCCCGGCTAGGTACGAAACCCCTGGTACTACGTCGCATATCAAAGTAGAATATATTTGAAAGATTATTAAAAACTGAAAGGCGAGGAGTTGATGTAATACATTTCGTGGAGAATTTTACGTTATCGTATTGGTATTATCGGGGGCCATGATCTCCACGGGACCTGAAGGTTATAGGTTCGATCCTTGGTGGGGTCACGAGTGCGAACTGCTGTAGAGTCCCATACTAAGATGAAATAGCTGCTGTTCAGTGCTCCAAGGATTACAATGTTCCTTCAATTGATATCTATTCATGAGAAATAGCAACTTGAGAAACCAACCAGTTGATTTGACCAACTATTCAAGAAGGTTATAAAAGGAAGTTAGAAGTATTGTAGAATATCTCAGGTTATCCGTATGATATGTTGACAAAATGTGTCAGTTTTCTGAACACCTTGATGAAGTGCAATATTCGAATCCATTGCCCAGTAATTTAAAATGAACTTCTAAAATCATAATACCTTGAGCAGAAATCTGAGTATATTTGGCATATATTTGAAAATTGGCAAATGTAAGATGACGCTTTAGGATTGGTATTTATAAACCAGTTTAAGGAAACAGTGTGAAATAGGTTGAATGTACTGACCATTTCATTCACTTGATAATGTACATCAGGTGAAATGAATAGCTAGCTGACGATGAACTCTTAGCTTGGATACAGAAGGCAATTTTTGTCATCTCTACAACCGGCAAGATATTTGACAATTATACTCCTTCTTTACTAGTTCTTTCTATTATATAGTTGTGAAGTAAGTATGAAACAATGTGAAATTTAGGTGTAGGATATCAGTGAAAGTTGTGAGACTTTACTAACTGACATGGTTTGAATATATGTTGCAAAATATCGACGCCTTGCCTACCTAGACATGGTCATGATAACGAAAGTAGAATAAGACTTGAAAAAGTATTCAGATGAAAGCTTTTGATCCAATCCCTGAAATATTTAACTACTGTTGTTTTCATTTTTGTATTGTAATTCCCTGTTGCTCAACTTCTGTTTGCCTGATTCACTCCTATACGAATATCTCAATATTTTCGCATTGTTATGATGTTGTGTATTCATGTTAGTGGCTAGTAGTAGAATCCAGGTTGATGCATGTTTTGTCTCATTTGAAATTTATTCGTCAGTTGGATGTAACTTTATGTGATTTTGTTATTCCTTACCTTAAGAATGTTTAATAAATAATGAGTTTACAGAATGTCTCATTGTATATAAGCCATCACTTTAAAACTTGATATCTGATTCAAGTAGACACTGTGATGTAATCGGTTCCCAATCTCCATTTTCTTAGAGATGAATGAATAGTGCCAAACATGAACAAAATGGCTATCCGCTGCATATAGGTGTTAGAATATGTAAAAAATCAACCATAGATTATTGGCACATCATACCTACACATCCAATCTTGAATGCCTCATGATGACAATAAATAATAACGCAAATTCACTTTTGTTCAAGGTATAACAGTGTGTTGAGAATGAGTACTCCTCTCTGCTAACATTTTCGTTAGAATACGTTTCAATGATATGCTAGACATTGTCACTACAGTAAACTAAAAAAAATTGATTCTGTCTTGCTACTTTGCCAAAGTACAATCTGATTAGTCTGTTGGTGACCGCGTATGCGGACCCTCATCTTGATTGGTCGACTCCCTATCACTAATGTTCTCACAGGGGTGTGCAACCATGTGATTGGTTGATTTCTTTCGTTTCCTTACAGTACTATTTATTTCAATTCCTTGTAAACCTCTGATGATTAAGTCTAGAGTGATATATTGAAACGTTAGCCGATTAAAACCGTAGTTCAGGGAACACCATCACCTAAAATATTCTTCGTACTGCTGCACAATAGTGATGGAATGAAATATTCTTCAAAGGTCTACAGAATTCAAAATTACAACCTTAACAGGCTGGCTTAACGAAGAACAAATCATGTGCGGATCAAATTGCAGCGCCACGCTACGCATCATCATAGAACACAGTACAGAATGGCACTCAACTCTCTACCTCAACTTTGTCGACTTCGAAAAGGCTTTCAACGTCATCGACCGAAAAGTAATATGGCACTTGCTTCAACACTACTGAGTGCCATAAATCTATATCAGCTTCATTCAACAGCTATATGACGACGCCACATCCCAAGTGATCCACAATGGTAAGCTCAATGATGCCTTTGAAGTGAAGACAGAAGTAAGACAAGGTTGCCGCTTACTACCACCCATGATCTTTCTGATTGTGGTCGGCTGGATCATGCAACAAACCGTGAGGAGCAAGAAGATGGGCATACGCTGGCTGGACCGACGAAAAGACCCTAGAAGACTTCGATTTCGCCAATGATGATGAATCATGTCTAATATCTTGTCACAAAAACTCGAAGATCTACAGGCGAAAACTAACAAGTTGATAGAAGAGGCCGTGTAGCCAAAACGGCACTTCCTTCAATCGAACGTAGAGAAGAAAGAGATGATGAAGATACCCAACCAACAACAAGCACCAATCACGATTAACCTAAAGGATATAGTCTCCTTCCCCTACCTGGGCAGTACCGTTTCAACTTCAGGAGGCACACGCACAGACAACGATGTCAAAACCTAAATCGGAAACACAACAAGACAGGATTTCACTATTCTCAAATCACTGTGGAGATCTACTGCACTCAGCGCAGCACAAACAACAACATCCCGATTTTCAACACCATTTCACTCAAGTCAGTGCTTCTATGTGATGGTTCAGAAACTTGGCACGTCACGAAAACCACTTCAAACAAACTACAGACACATTCATCAACAGCTACCACCTACGCTCACTCGATACTGAAGATCAGTTCACAAGGCCAGAAAGAATAGGCAACAAGGAGCTCTGAAAACAAACCAACGAAGCAAGAACCTATCACTCAACAAATATGCAGAAGAAGAAAGTGGACATGGATTGGATTGCACATACACTGAATAGACCGTTCAGGGACATCATACACTAGGCCAGGCTGTCGAGTGGAATCCAAATGGGAATTGGCGAGTTGAGCGTCCAAGGGTTACATGGAGGAGATCATGTGAGGAAGGAATGAGAGCTTGTGGGCAGTCGTGGCGCCAGGTTCAAAAGACTGCAGAGAAGAGAGTGGAATTGAGGCGTGCTACTGAAGTCCAATGTTCCATTAGGAACCCAGGGAGAAAATAATAATAAGGTTTAAAGAATTCATTTATTTCTGCCAAACAAACTTGTGATTAGTGACAAGTTGGAAAAAAAACCAGATAGGGAAAATCCAGTCGCATTAGCTAAGAAGACAGTAATTTTCATACCAAGTGGGGTATTCTGTTGAGTAGGTATCTCACAGTATGAGAATAAATACTGCAACTAAGCTGAGAGAAGAATCCAGAGAACGAAGGTCAAGAAAATTCAACCAGAGTGATTCGTACAGAATGGAATCTTTTTTTTCCCTTGGGTTCCTAGTGGGACATAGGGCTTCATTAGCATGCCTCCATTCCACTCTGTTCTATCCAGTTTTTTCAACCTCGCTCCACGACAGCCCACACGCTTTCATTTCTCCCTCACATCATCTCCTCCATATCACCCTGAGCTGGGGCGCCCGATTCGTCGTTTCCCCCTAGGATTCCCCTCAAGGGCCTGGCCTTGCGCGTGATGTCCCCGAACGGTCTATTCAATGTATATGCAATCCAATCCATCTCCACTTTCTTCTTCATATTTCTTGCATGATAGCTTTTTGTTGGTTCGTTACCAGGCAGCCAGAGTTCCTTGTCGCTCATTCTTTCTCGCTATCTGATCTTCAGTACGGAGCATAGGTGGCGCCAAGTTTCTGAACCATCACATAGCAGCACTAACTTGAATGAATTGGTGTCAAAAATCTGGATCTTGTTCTTTGTGTTGAGCGCAGTAGATCTCTACACTAGCTGAAAAACTTTATCTTGAACTGAAGACATTTTATCAGTAGAAGCAGACAACACACGTTAAAAAAGAAAACAACAAAGAGACAGCAGCCAATCAAAGCACTAGCAGGTTATATTCCTCTATACTCGATCCCCTTGATATGTCATTTAATCAATATTCACCACTGTAACCAATCCAAGAGTATAGATAACCCTGACAGTAAGTGTATGAGAAAAATGTCTCATTATATATCATCAATATCAACAGTAATAATTATTAGAAAAGAAAGACGTATTGGATCATTGTCGTCAAACCTACCTCTTGAGTAGATGACAACAGGTGTTTGAGAAAAGATTGACTTCATTAACCATGGTAATCCCATACAGATCAATATGTCGAATACATTACTTCCAACAGCATTTGACACAGCCATATCACCTTCGCCTTTAAAGTTAAAATATCATGAAAAACCAAGAAAAATTAATTAACCAAAGAAACAAACATGAAACAGATGAGATTACATACCGAAGAGTTTCTCCCTATTATACATTATTATCATTATTTGTCCCTTGGGTTCCTAGAGGAACATAGGGCTTCAAAAGCACATCTCCATTCCACTCTGTTATCTTCAATCTTTTGAACCTGCCTTTATAACTGCCCACAAGCTCTCATTTCTTCCTCACACGATCTCCTCCATGTCACCATCAGCTGGGACGCCCGACTCGCCATTTCCCATCTGGGTTCCACTCGAGTGCCTGGTGCATGATATCCCCGAATGGTTTTTTCAGTGTATGCCTGATCCATCTTCACTTCATTCTGCATATTGAGGAATAGGTTCTTCGTGGTTCTCAGCTAGGCAGAGTTCCTTATTGCTTATTCTTCCTGGTCATCTGAGCTTCAGTAACGAGCCAGCGTAGGCAGTTGTTGATGAGTATCTGTAGTTTGTTAAAACTATTATAGATTGGAGTTTTATAATTTCGGCAGAAGTAATACCGCCAACAACAGTTTGCTGGTTGAAAAAAAGGCTAAAGTAGAAAGTAACACAAAGATGATAACCTCATGTAATGGCTAAACCCTATCGTTTTTTCCTCTTTAGTTTTATACTGCTTAACATTATTGAGTAGTATAATTGTTGTTTGATTCAAATATTGCTTCATCCTCAGCTTACTTGACTGTGCTCTTTTTATTCAACCGTACATTGTTCATCATTTAAGGTCTCTGGAAATTGGTAACTTCACCGGTTCATGGTGATGTCGGGATTCTTCTGTTGCTCACTGATGTTTTATGTTACCTTAAACATTTGTTTATCTTATGTCTTTCTTTCTTTATTACTTCATCGTAGGAACATACGCGCCTCCTTTCAGGTTTGTCTTGGATACACAGCTTTGCTGTTTCCACTACTGACATACTTTCAGTAAGGTAGTGTTTTCATGACAGCGATAAACTCACAGATATCTGTGGATTCAGATTGTGAGAGTAATCGTTTTGATTCAGAATTTCTCGGAGAGAGAAGTTCACAACACGCATGCATACACAAACTTGAAGAGAGATTTTCAAGAAACCGGTAAAAATTATGAGAATATCTTAACACATCTTCAAACGCGTCGTTTTCAATACAGTTACGATCGGCTTGAGTTCAAGCGTTTCTGTTTGTTATTGTCATCAAAAAAGTAACTCACCTTCACGAACAACAAGCACTGAAGCGATAGCATCAGGTACAGAGGAACCAGCTGCAATAAACGTCAAGCCCATTATTGTATCCGGTATATGAAGAGTAACACCTGAAGGAATGAAAGGAACAATTACAAAATGATAAGTAATAGTAGTCATGTAATTCAGTTAAGAAAGAAACTAAACGAATTGACACTGTGGCACACTTTTTTAATTCGACTTGGAGGTTCGAACCCTGGTGTGATGGGGTCGCCGTGTAGTCTTCATTAGTCATATGGGTCAACCGCTTAGAAGTCAAGATATTATCAACTGAAGAGAGAACTAACAGAAGTAAGAAACTGTAGATCAATCAACTCAGTGACTAGGTTGGTTAACGTGTTCGCCACGAGACCTGAAGGCCATGAGTTTGTGGGTGGGTACGCACTGCTTAGGATTCTCTAGCTGGAAAGAAATAGTGCTATCAAGTCGTTAATGGTTATCCAACTGATCCCAGTCTGATGAATATCACCTAGGAATGTTGTGTGAATGTTTTTCTAGCTAGTGACTTGATTCCATACAACATAGTATAAAACAGCCATAACTTGGAGCCTAGCCTGCTTAACTGTATACCGCTTCAAAATATCACAGTTTGAATCAGCACACTAAGGGTTAGATGTAACCAGAAGATGGTGAAAGTAACCAAAATTAAACAATATTATTAATAGTAGAGAAGACTTGTCTGTCTCAGAATGATGATAACTGATGTGTTCTCCAAGTTATACGGGTTATTTTCGTACGTCAACAATGCTCAAAGTTGAAGCAGAATATTATGATTTGCTTTCTACCGTATGAATTCTCTTCAGTTGCTATTATATGATATTCAGACGACCGACCCTCTTCCAGTCAACGAAGTCATTCTCAACCTCTGTATATTCATTATAAATGTATGATATTTTAAAAAGGTATATACAATTGAGGGGATTTAAACGTGAAGATAATAATAATAATAATAATATGGATGATAACAGTACTGACAATTATGCTAACAGTTAACGGAATAATGGTGATCAAAATTGGTTACGTAATATACACAGACTTGTATAAGAAGATTGTTGGAACGCTTATGGTGATACAACCGACTTACATCTAATCGAATCACTGAAAAGGATAAAACAACAAGGTTTCATTTCAGAAAGCACCTTCAAATGCTGGAACCGTTACACCTAGACTTTACGGTCTACCGAAACTGCATAAAAACAGTCTACCTCTGCGACCAGTTCTTGACATGACTAACTCTCTGTATCATAACAACAACAAAATGGTTAGTACAACTTTTGAAGCCTTTCCACAAAGAAGTTGTGCAGTATAGTCTCAAAGATACCTTTGGATTTGTCAGAAAGATTGAGGATCTGAAAGTAGATAATAAGTTAATGATTTCATGTAATGTTTCATCTCTTTTTACTAACATTCCTTCAATGGAGACAGTACACTTTATTTGCAACGAACTCACCAAGCATGGCATGGAAATAGGTATTCAAGTCTCCATACTGAAAGAACTACTTCTGAGGTGTACAATGAATGCACAATTTCTTTTCAACAATTAACTCTACCCGTAATCTGATGGTGTTGATATGGGGTCACCCCTTAGCCCCACTCTTAGCAGATTTTTTTCTTGCAAAACTTTAGAATGGTCCACTGGACGATACTATTAGCCGTTTAGAGTTATGTATTGTCGTTACATGGATGACACCTTTATAGTTCTCAAAAGTGAACTGATAAGAATGCTGTTCTGAATAAGTTCAAAAGTGTTCACTCGGCAATCAACTTCACAATGGAAGAGGAGAAAAATGATAGTATCCCATTTCTTGACGTTCTGTTAGTAAGAAGGTCAGATGGAACCCTGAAGCGAAGTGTTTATAGAAAGCCAACATCAACAGGTCAATATACACACTTCTTTAGTGCTGTACCCCTCCAATACAAAAGGAACCTAGTGAAATGCTTAGCATACTGTGCCTCAGCTATTTGCTCAGAGGATGCTATAAAGGAAGAGTACTCCACAATCCGTGATCTGCTTAGTAGGAATGGCTACCCAGACAAGTTTGTAACTAAGCACATGAATATTACGAGGGTTAAGACAACAATGCCAACAGTTCCTAAGTAGCAAATCTTCTCGAAGCTGCAATTTAAGAGTGACACTGCCAGTGAGATCATCACACAAAGCATAAAAAGAGTCTTGCATAAAGCATTCCCAGCCGCTAAATTATGTCCCGCCTTCTACAACCGCCCGATTCTAGGTGCAAGAAATAAAGACAAACTGCCTGATTGTGCCACTTCTATGTGCATTTATCAATTCAACTGCTCCTGTGGAGCTAGTTACATTGGGCGTACAATGAGGCAGTTCCATCGTCGAGTTTCTGAGCACCACCCATCATGGTTGAACAAAGGACAAATTAGAACTATACAGACCTCCATACTTGCACACTTAGTTGACACAGGACATCAAGTGGTTACTAGAAAAGCCTTCAAAATCATCTATCAGATTCCAATTAATTTACCATCACATGGATTAGGCACTCGGTTACTTCACATAGCAGAGGCGATTGCAATCCACCTTTACAAACAAACGTAGCCTTTGTATTCGAAAGAAGTTTGTTCGACCACTTTCATCATTACCGTGGCTGTCAACATGATGTAATCTCTAGGTTTACTTTGTACACCTCTTCCCCTTCCCCTTGTTTCTATCAATATTCATATTTCCAATTTCAGTAACTCTCTTGATTATTTACAGCATTATTTCTGAAACATCACCATGTGGTTGGTAATTTGATTAAATTGTAAGCCCATATATATTAGTGTAGAGCCCAAGATGAAGACCTAATTGAAAGGAAATATACATTTCTTCGCTCAATCAGTCGTATTCTAGATGTATAAATAGGAATATTCAATGGATTTCAAAGATGTTGTGTTCTGTCAGATGGATGGTTTAATCATGAAGCTGTAATTGTCCTTCTAGATAATATCATCAGAGTAGATATCATAAAGAACATTGTTATAGTTCCAGTTGACAAAGAGGATACTACATCAAAGTAGTCATGGATAAAGATGATTACGTCAAGAAAGGCAGAAGACTTATTCATGAATCGAAATGTTTCATTAATCGAGATAAATCCTATGCAAAACTTTAAATCATACACTATAAGATCAAACTCATCAAAGTGGGATAGCAATATAAAATCGTTAAAAAGAAAGCCTCCTCACACAATCTTGGCTGAAGTAGGTTCAGGCTGGAAAAAACTCTCGAGGCACCCAGTCTAAAACATAGCATCAATATGTGAAGCCTCTGACTGCTGGTTTCAGATATATGGGGCGATGTAGACTACCCAATTGGGGTTGGCAGGAGAAGAGGAACCACTGGTGCCTAGAGCCTCTAGGTGATCACATGGCTCAAAGTCGATGTCTGTGGAGCAGAATTATCCCCACAACACATTATCTTCATCTATGTTAACGCTATACCGAATTTCATCATTATCTCATTCTTCTTTCCTCTCTTTCAGTACTTCATGTTTCTTTTGAGTGAATTTTCTTATCTTCATCTTACACCTCACTGCCTTTTTACTTGATGTACTGATATGAGGTGTGGCAACGTGGACCATTACGCAGTAATGCTTGGTCACATACGTTGATACTGATGATGATGATATGTAGGTTCACACCACTCACCATCTACTGCAAGGAACCTTCAGAATCAAGTTGAAAGCCTTCAAAGAAGTTGGTGATAGACCACAGTTCAACTTCAACACCCAAAACAGAAACTGAAGGATTAAACTACAAACGACATCTTTAGGCCAGACATCAAGAAAAAATGGGAGTCTTCAAGCAGCATCCCTGAAAAAACCTATATGGAAGAACACTGGAACTCTATGAAAGAGATGTGGAAAGAAACTCCACACACATTATCCTCATCTACCCTAACGCTATACCGAATCTCATCATTATCTCATTCATCCTTTCTCTCTTTTAGTACTTATATTTCATTTGACTGAATTTTCTTTTCTTCATCTTCCACTTCATTGCTTATCCTTACTTACTTGATGTAGTTATAGAAGATGAGCTGTGGCAACTCGGACCTTTACGCAGTAGTAATGCCTAGTCCCATGTTGAAATGGATGGATGAATGCTTTTTTGATACGCGAAAATAATATTAGTAGTAGCAATGACAAGAGATATGATTAAGATAATAGTTAAAGGAGTAATCGTAAAGAAGTCGATTACGTAATGTACACAGCCCAGTATACAGGTTTTATAACGCATAAAGAGAGCGTTATAGGTTGATTTAGTATTTAACCGCCGGATGAAACAGGTTGGTTAATTAGTATTATTACTATTGTAAGTTTGCTTTATTCCGAACGTTAATTTTGTCTACAGTATAGAATTTTCAGCATGTGTAATGATATTGCCTAAGTTGATTAGTTGTGTAACATTTTTCAAGTGTACAGATTAACATCACGTAAAAAGAATACCGGGATTGTTGAAATGCTAAATAACATTAGAGTTTTGATTCATGTTGGCTATTACAAAGTTGATTGATGAGACCATGTCTAGGCGGATTTTCTTTACATAATATACAAGCTGAATAAAGTCGTACAGTTAAATGCTTCTATGTAATTGTGCGTGCATATAGTTTAATACATTTGCTTCTTGTCTTCTCAGACGACAGATATGGAGAGAAGTGCGGATGCAGAGGATGTTTGTCATTAGATAAAATATGTTTCAGCCAGTAATCCTACAATCACGAGAGAATTTTCGTTAGACATAGAATAAACAGATGACAAAATCCTGTTAGATGAAGACGCTGACAAGATGCAGAGTATTTTTGATATGTTGAGTGGCAATATGGGAATGTTTAGGATGCGTTTCTCACCACCCAAATGCAAATTGTTGCTCCACGATTGGTCTTCAACGATGCCCCACTGCGGCTACCAGTAGAGTGTAGTGATTAAGTGTGTTGACCACTTCACTTACCTTAGACGTAGTATCAGCGTTGGTGGCTACCTCAGTAGCCGGTGAAATCTCTGCACAAATACAAAAGGCTAGACTGGTTTTTGCCAACTTACACCACCTGTAGCGCCGC